TATATGAAATATCTGCAGGATAGACTTTAAAGTTACCAATGTATTACATATTTTTTTTTGAGAGTACCAAGTGTATAATAGTAAAGACCTGAGTTTGGATCTCCAGCATCCACGTGAAAAGCCTGGTGTGGCTTATTATCAAGATCATCATGAGTATGTGTGGCTTCTTGGCAAAGCCCAGTGCCCACAGTGCACCAGGAAGTTCTCAGAGCTAGAGCCCATTTTAAAAGCAGCATTGTCACAAAACATGAACAAGTAAGGAAGCATGGGCAGAGATTCCTAGTGAGTGCAGCCTGTGTGAGGGAGCTCTGAGGAGACAGCAGGAGGGTCATCCAACTGGTGGGGTCACAAACCCCAACCACACTGCTCTATAAAGAAAGTAAGAGTGACATCCAAAGGCACTGTGCTCCCAGCTTAAGGGACGGCTGTTGTTGAGCACAGAGGCTCCCTCTCTCCCTCTGGGCCATGTGAGCACCTCTGGGCAGGTGCATATACATGGCTTCCCTTAAACTTTACTCCTTAAGGCTGAGGATGTAGCTCCATGGTAGAGTACTTGCCTTCCAGGTGGAAGTCCTTGAATTCAGTTCCCCAGTACAAGGAGAGAGGGAGGGAGAAGAGAGGGAGAGGGAGAGAAAAGAGAACATTCCCTTAATCTACTAATAAGGGACTAATAATAATTCTAAAGCATGACCCATAGTAACCCTAAACATCTATTGATCGTATGGAATTCATGTCATAGCACCCCACTATGTGATGAACCTATTACAATTAGAAAGTACCTTTAAAATGGAAATAGGAATTGTTAGTGCCAACTCTCCTAATTTTTTAGTTATATCAGTTATTAGGCCAATTCCTGATTCTCTGTAGTTTTGCTTTAAATGTTCTGATTTAGCACACTTAATTTACAAAGCCTGGAGACGCTCATCCTGCTTTTATTGTTTCTGTACCCACAGTGGCCTGTGATGAGCTCATTACCCCAGTTCTCACTTTGCAGCCCCAGAGAGAAAAGTTGCTCACGGGTGTCCATCCCCATGATGTGTCGGCCCCTGGGACCCAAAATGCACTCATGTGACCATTTAAGGCCTTCTGTCTAGATAAAACATATGGTCAGCGCTGGAACCGTGGGCTAGCTATTTTCTTTTTGCCTAATTTACTCCATTTTACTTAGCTTAAAATATCATACAAATTTGTACTTTCAGAGTCTTGCTTTTTGGTTAATTGCTCAGCTTAACTGCAGAATGTTGCAGCTCTTGGCATAGGAATTGCTCAGCAATGGTCCTCACTTTGACTTTGTCACAGAGAAGTACTGGATTTAGGAGGACATAATACGAACACGAGCCATTTGTTCACAGAAGATCCGGCTCCATTGTGGTCGGGGATTCCCACCAGTTGTGGCTGGGTGAACATTCACCCCACTTCTCCTTGGGAAAGGAACTGTCCTGCTGCCACCCGCTTGGCAACAGTGAGCCCAGGAAGGAACAACTGCAGGTCCTGAAGTGAATCAGAAGCAAAACAGCTCCAGATGCTGAATGGTCTAGAAAAACCTTGCACAAGAACCTGGGACTTTGCTCTTTTTTCTGATCATTTTTCTTAACATTTCAGGAAGCTCTCTCCACTCTTAGAATGCTTGTAGATACATATATGTGTGTGTCCAAATTCCATGCTTTCTAAAAGGTCTAGAGAGCATGTACCAGGCCCTTCTGTTCTGTTGTGCCGTGCTGACAGATAACTGAAAAGCGATGGTTCTGCCCAGGTTCACTTTTAACAGATCCACTCTTAGAATGCTTGTAGATACATATGTGTGTGTCCAAATTCCATGCTTTCTAAAAGGTCTAGAGAGCATGTACCAGGCCCTTCTGTTCTGTTGTGCCGTGCTGACAGATAACTGAAAAGCGATGGTTCTGCCCAGGTTCACTTTTAACAGATGTCCAGTTGGCCCAGCACCGCTTGGTGAAACACTCCTCCCTTCTCTACTAAAGTGCAAAATTCATTAGAATACAGTGTACATACATGAGCCTGATTTGCATTCACCTCCAGATCCACATGGTAGAAGGAGAAAATTGACTCCCTCTCACTGTTCTTTGACCTCCACACAAGTACACACACACGCACACACACACACACACACACACACACACACACACACACACACACGAGAGAGAGAGAGAGAGAGAGAGAGAGAGAAATGATATATCTTTATAATGTTCATGAAACTTGAAAAAAAAATGCATAGCAGTGTTTTAGGGAGTTTTCTGCAAATGTCAGTTTGACCAAGTAGACCGACTGTTGAGTCTTTTCTGTCTTTGCTGATCTGCTGGATCAGTTCATGAGGATACTGACTGTCTCTTCACAGTAAGATCATCTCTCCTTCGAATTTTAGCGCTTGCTTCATGTATTTTTCAGCTCTGTGACAAAGTTCTTCTCTTAATAAATTGGTCTCCTTTGTCACTATAAGATGAGCTTCTCTCCAGAAGTGTCCTTCGTTCTGTGATCTGCTTTGCTATTAGGGTGAACTTCTCTGCTTCCTTCTGATTTGTAATAGCGCAGAGTATCCTTTCAATGTCTTCATTTTAGACTATAGTCATCTCCTCCTTTTTCCTGCAGTGTTTGACCATTTACTTCTGTTGTGGTTGTAGACATTACAGTGTTTAAGTCTGTCATTTTGCTGCTTGTTTTCTATTTGGCACGTGTGGTCTTTGTCCCGCTTGTCCATTTTTTTCTTTCTTTTATATCAGTTGTGTTGTATGATTCCATTTTAACACCTTTCCTATTTTCTAGCTGTAACTTTTTCTTTTGTAGACTTAGTAGTTTTCAAGGACTATAGTACACATCCTCGTCATCCACGGTCTGCCTTCCAGTGGTACTGTGCCACTTCACGTACGGCAAAGTCTCCCTGACACTTAAAATAGACACTACCGATTCTCTTCCCCTGCCTCTGTGGTACTGATACACGTTTAACTTTTTCTAAAACATCCCACATTACTACTTGTTTTTCAAAAGTCAGCTTTTAAAGACGTTCAAATGAAAGGAAGAATTTCTTTTTTAATATTTTATTTTTATTTTATGTGTATGGGTGTATTGCCTGCATGTATGTAAAGGCACCCATGTCATGCAGTGCTGACTGAGGTTATAAGAGGACGTTAGATCCCCTGGAACTGGAGTTAGGGGTGGTTGTTAGCCACCATGTGGGTGCTGGGAACTTGGTTCCTCTGTAAGAGCAGCCAGTGCTCTTAATCACTGAGCATCTCTCCAGCCCTGGAAGACTCGCTTTTTACCTACCTATTTAGCTACTGTTCCCAGAGCCCTGCTTTCCTTCATAAGGGTCCGGGTCTCCATTTACTTTCATTTTCCCCTTTGGGCTGAAGAAACTCTTAGATTCCGTGAAAGAGTCTTCGAATGATGAATTGGTTGTTCAGCTTTAGCATGTCTGAGAAGCCTGCATTTTGCTGGGAAGGTAAGAGCTGTGCCCTTTTTAGAGCCCAGAAGCTGCCGCCCCATCTCATCTGTATTATTCAACCTGCCTTTGGTTCTCCGCTCAATCTCCCTTGTGCTGACATTGCGCAGTTTATTGTGACATGCTTTCGTGTTTCTCATGCTTGGAATTTGAACTTCTTTCTCTAGGGTTGTTGGTTTCAGCAAATATGGGCAGATTTTATTCATGTTTCTTCAGATACGTTTTTTTTCTGTGCTCCAACTCTTTTGGGAACTCGGGATACACACAGACTCGGTGCTTGTCCGAGTCTCACTGGTTTCCTATTCTTTTTAACTCCTTTTTCTCCTCTCCTCCCCACCCCCGACCCCCCATGTCTAGGAGTTCACTAATCTGCTGCTGTCTGTGTTCTATGATGGAGTCCGTCACGTGCACTTTTTTCTCAGATGCTGGCTCCTTTTAGACGTTTGGCTTTTGTCTGTCTTGTATCCGAGTGCTAGGCCTCTTTCACTACAGTCCTCTCAGGACCTCTGTCTTGAATAACAGGCATGCCATGGTGACTCCTGGGATGGTCAGGGACACCTGCTGCCCTCAGATTGCCTCTTTGCATTTCTCTTCCTGTGCCACTCTCTCCTAGGAACTGCCTGTGAAAATCCATGTGCTGTGCACAGCCAGTGAGCTGGCAGTAGGTGTCTGGTTTAGGAATGTGGAACAGCTTGTACTAAGGACTGGAGACTCCTGTCTTAAGTGAATTTGGTGTGGGAGGCTATAGTATCCATGTGTCTTGTGCCTTAAGGCCCAGCATACGAATGGAAATGTGCAGTTGTTCTCTGTTCCTAGATAGTCGTGAACCAATGTCTACTCATCCCAGAGAGGGAACCAGTGACTCCCCAAAGTAAGGATGCCACCAAAGTCCAGTGGGTTTTATTGGGGTCACTTACTGGAGTATGGGTGAGGAGATACTTACAGGAGCAGAAATGATTCAAAGACTGCTGCATCACCAAGAGCCCACCCCAGCATGGGTGACAGTTCATGAAAGCAGAAGCCCTACAGCTCACTGCAAGGCCTGCAGGCAGCTAGATTAACTGAAAAATGTCTCTTCCAGGCAGCTCAGTTGGTCTGAGTGTCCTTAGTAGTCCTTGGAGCTTATACGTGCATGAGGAAGGAGGAGCCTTGAATCTGGACAGTTTCAGAGACTTCTTGAAGCTACTAAATTGTTTACTTCCTAAACTTAAAGAGCTCCCCCTGTAGGGTGTACTGTTTCACCTCCCCTTAAGGAACACCCTGTGTCTTTAGGGGTATCCCTCTAGGTGGAAGGTTTTGTCTCAGGCAGTTGTCACACAACATATGTACCTTGAGTTTCTTAGCCAGGCATCTTTCTAAAACATTGCACTCTGCAAGCTGGTTAGTCAAGATGAAATAGTTTGAGTACCCCAAGTAAGCATGTGTGCTTACTTGTTAAGCACTGGGGTTCTGAATGTACCTGGGTACAATGTGTATGAAACCATGTGGCCTGGATGTTTGGCCTTTCCATGGCAGGGGGTGTTTGAGCAGACCCACTGAGGAGCAGACCCACTGGCTCCACTTTGCAGAAACCTTGGGTGGCTTGTCCCCACTGGCTCCACTGTGTTGACCCTCAGATGGCTTGTCCATCTGTTCCTGCAAGGTTTCTAACTCTGTTGGTCCCAAAGCTAAGACGTACATGGTAAGACGTCATGTGGATTCAGGTCTCTATCAGCCTCTGTACCATTGCCCATCACAGACAAGTGTGTGCCTGTCAACTCTGGCTTTGTCCTGCTCCTTTCTTGGGCCATCACTACAGCAGCACAATGGAAGGCTTAACATTCCTCCTGTGGCTGTGCGCCTTGTCCCAGTAAATCCCTTTCCCGGCAGGTGCTCTGACTGCGGGCAGCCCCTCCCTCTTGGTGGAAACTAGAGCTTCATGCCCCCTCTGGTGTCTGCTCTGCTTTAGGCATCAGCAATGCAGAAGCTCGACAGCCGGGGAAGGCGCCCAACTTCAGTGTCAACTGGACAGTGGGCGACTCTGCCATCGAGGTCATCAATGCCACAACGGGGAAGGACGAGTTGGGCCGCCCGTCCCGCCTGTGTAAGCACGCGTTGTACTGTCGCTGGATGCGTGTGCACGGCAAGGTACTGAGGCACCCTCACCGGTGTCGGCCCACCTCTCCTAGCGTGTCCACCTCCATTCCTCCCGTCCTCGTTTCATCATCATGTGTCATCACAGCTTCCTAACTAGACATGTGAAAACTGTTCCTTCAGACGGTCGTTAGCTTAAAAGTGTGGCCCTGGCTCCAGAAGCCCAAAAGCTGTGGCAGACACAGCTTCCTCCCTCTCCCCTGCAAAGTCTTAGTCCTCTGCTCTGGCACTGGGAAGGAGTGTTCACACCACTGTGCTGAAAACTGTGAAAAGGAAGGGCAGTCACTGCCTGTCCTTCCCTGAGCACAGGCCATGCTGGAGTCTCTTCATCCCTTCATCTCCACATTCAGAAATTTACTTTAGCTTCAGGGCCCTGTCCCCCAGGTAAAACTTTAGATAACAAGGCAGGAACATCCATTCTCATTCACCTTTAAATCAAGGGTGTTGTATTTTCTTCTTACGGGGCCCGCTCAGAGCGCTGGTGTGGGGCTCAGGCAGAAACTGTCCTCTTCCAGACACATGCCATTGTGGTAGCTCAAGAGCTTTGCAGGACACTTCCAGTCTCTGCCATGTGAAAATAGCATAGCCTGGGCATGCTGTTCTAAGAGTTATAGTCAGGCAAGTGGAACTTGAGCAACCCTGTGGTTTACCAGAGGCTTGTCTCCAGAGCCTAGGATCTACAGCCACATGTCCGACATGCAAGCTGCTGCTGAGAGGTGATGACTGAGCCTGGCCTTTTGTGGGTGCCCTTTCCTGTAGGAGAACACCTCTTCCGTTTGCCTTTCCCCAAAGCATCATTCTTAGGTATCACACCCTTTGTTTTCTTCTGTTGCCATTCCAGTGGTCGCTTTACATGTATGTATTCTTCTACAGGTTCCCCCCCACTTACTGCGCACCAAGATCACTAAGCCCACCACATACCACGAGTCCAAGCTGGCAGCGAAGGAGTATCAGGCCGCCAAGGCACGTCTGTTCACTGCCTTCATCAAGGCGGGGTTGGGTGCCTGGGTGGAGAAGCCCACAGAGCAGGACCAGTTCTCTCTCACACCCTGATCCAGGCAGGTGCCAAGGCTGCAGCGCTGAATCCTGCCCCAGAGCCTTGCATCTGAGCTGGGGCAGGTGTGCACCTCGGGGAGGGCATGAGGGGCCTGGGGGAACCACTGGACATCCAGTACTGTCCCCAGTCTCTCTCACCAATAGGGCAGCATGGGGACGTGTGGGGTGCCAGGCATCTCACAGCTGATTGGGAAGCAGGTGAACAGTGGGGGTGCATGGCAGGGAGAGACCCCCAGCATCTCCCTGCCACACACTTCCCTTCTTGAGCTACCCAGTGACCGCTTTATATCTCCGTTTACGTTAGAAATTGAGTTCTACTGAGTAGGGCTTCCTCAAGTATAGGAAAAATGAAATTACTTTGTGAGAGATTCTTGAATAAATAATTTATTCAGAGCTAGGAATGAGATTTATAATATAAGTAATTATGTCAGGTCACTTTTATGCCACATTATTTTAATTGCAAAAAAGCGTTTATATGTGGAAGAACACGAGAAAGTAGAGGTAAGAAGTAGAGCCCTCGAGAAACACCACATGCACAGCTATGCGTGGCTGCTCCTCTCCGTAGGTCCTTCATGGTTAAGTCCTCTTAGTAGGTTTCAACAGCTCTCCTGGGGTGACCCCAGCATACACTGGCCCTGTAGCTGGGACCCTGTGTCCTGCAGTGTTATGACCTAGAACCTGCTGCCTCAGCTGCCTCTAGAAGCTTCCATACCCCTGGTTAGGCTCAAATCATGGAAAACTTGGTTTACTTCAAATTGGTGAAGGTAAACGTGTCCAGAGCCTGTACTGGCCCCACTGGGGTTTTTTAACAGTATAGCTTCTGTGGCCTAGAAAAAACCTGATGGGGCTGCTATGCACACAGAGCACAGCCTTCCCTGTTCCTCGGAATCTGGTGGGTAGGAACCACTGACCACTCAAAGAGCTTCACAGGATGGAGAGGTATTTAAGGTGATACCATTCTTGGCATGCCATAAGGTATATTGCTAAGTTATTCCTTCCAGCTTTATCAGACACATGTTTGAAAATAAAGTCTATTCAAGCTGAAGTTGGTGAGACAGTGTGAACTGGCATGCTGCAGACCAGATATTGGTGTCTCGACAGGCAGGGCTCGAGTGCTGCTGGCATCTTGTGGGTGAGCCCCAGGATGGCAGCAGCACCCCTCATGCACAGGGTGGCCCCAGGACCCTGGAGTGGACCACCTGGACCTCCTGTGCTCAGACTTGCCCCAGGTGCCTTGTTGTTTCCACTCAGGATTAGGGAGGAGTAGAGGGAGGAAAGGCTGTATGCCAACAGCTCAGCATGTCCGTCTAGTCCAGCAAGTCACTCTGAGCAGCCTCAAGACTCTCAGGGCCACGGGCAGGGAAGGCACAGACCATCTGACAGCACACAGCCACTGCCGCCACATCCAGGGGACTGAAAGCTGTGTGACCCTGTTTGCCCAGGTGTTTGTGTCCTTCACACACTAAGAAAAACCAGAACAGGAGCAGAGCTACTGTCAGTCCCAGATTCCCTGCAGACCTTGAGGCTGTGTTGTTGCTTTGGTGGGAACTGCTTCTGTCTCTGTATTGGGAGCCTTGCCTGAGTCCTTGTGGGTTTCTCACATGGTTCTCACCCTATGGGGTTCCATCCACATGGCAGGAGGGTCCTACCAGAGCTCCATGGTGACAATGGTAGGCTGCTCGCCAGGTGAGGACCCTGCATGCTGTGGCTGGGCCTTGTTTGGGTAAAATGCACTGGGGTTCCTTAGAAGGAAAGGTCTGATGGCATCACCACCCTCCCACATAGGCTCCTGCACACTCCAGAAAGAAAAGCCTCATGCTGGTGTGTTCTTGTCTTTAAAATTATATTTTTTCTAGTGGGGATGGGGAAATGGACTTAGTTTTTAAATGTGCTTTTGGTTATAAAGTCTAGCAAAATTGTATATCCGTATTCACTAAAAACCATGCAGAGCACCTGGCCTTCCATGGCTGATAGCAGAAATGAGCAAAGGTCATTCACAGGAAGTGAATGACCTTGTGCATGTAAGAGCATGTCCTGCTTGGTTGACCTAGAGCCTGACAAGACAGAGGAAGGTAGCCTGGGAGAGCACCGCATAGTAAGAGAGAGACAGCATGGGCTTGCCCTCCCCCTGCTCCCAGGCAGCTCAGACAGTCCATCTCTGACTAGAAAGGAACAAATGGTGACTCTTAAGACTTGAGCACTTTAAGCCCCTTTCTGAAGGCCACCATGGATGACACCATGATTGTAGTGCTATAGCCCACATCCAGGACTCAGACTTCACAGACTCAGCAGAAAGCTTGGCACACCAAGTGTTTTTGTTTTGTTTTGTTTTGTTTTGTTTTTTATATCCTGAATTTTGAGGACACTTTTTAGCAGGGGAGGACAGGAGGTTCTCTGTTCTGTTTACTTACCTAAACCTGAAGTATTAATTCCACAAAGGCAGGGTCCCTTGGAACTGCTCAGGCAGCTTTGCCAGGGCTGTATCCACAGGGGAAGGTCAGCATTGTGAAGGAATCTCAGTTCAGGTGGCATGCCTGTGCACAGCCATAGCTCCCCACTTGGATCAAGGCAGAGACAGTGACAGGCTGGGTGGGTATGGTGTCTGTACCACCAACACTGACCACTGCTCATGGTGTCGAGAGGTGGCATCTCTCCAGCAAGGGACACCAAGGAACTATAGCTTTGAGTCTGAACCTTCATCTTTCACCATCCTTCCTATTTTGATAACTTAAGGAACTTTTAAGCATGTATGTGAGCATCATCTCCTTGGGCATCCTCACTCCGGGTTTATTTTATTCCACAATTCCTCTTACCACCAGGCTGTAGTTGCTGCTTGGTCTTTAAAGCCCATGTCTCTCCTGCAGTTTCAGACAGGTGTACCAATTGTGGGCAGCCTCCAACCTCTCCACGGGCACTGACCTAAGGGTCAGGAATGTGGGGGGAGCTGTGCCATGAGTATACATGATGCAGGAACAGCTTTTCATTTCCAAAGTATTTTACTCCAGAAATGTCAGCTCTGCTCAGTGCTAACTTTGATTCAGCAAGAGAAACAGAATAAGCTGAAATCCCCATCTCTAAACTCTGTGAAATTAGGGAACTTACCAGAAGATCACTTCAATCCCAAACTGCATCATGGAAAGGGCAGGGGGCTTGTGTTCAGAATATGCACCTTGTATGTGTCCTTGTCTCTTGACATGCTGTATGACAGTCTACCCAAGGGTGAGAAGGTGTTTGCACCTGCTCCACAGCTGGTAGGCTGCTTCCCTGTCCACACTGCGGCTCCCGAGGTCATGTGATGCCAGGGAATAGAGGTAGGGAAACTGTGATCTGCCAGGGACCACAGTCAAGAGGGGTGTGGGTCTGACTGCATCCTGACTGGCTTGTCAGTTCCCTCCCTTGCCTTCCCTTCCTGGAGAAATCCTCCTGTCTCTGTAGTAGTGCCTGTACTTCGTGTTTGCTGTTTAGAGGACAAGTGTCCAGCTTCAGAAGCACTTAACTGTGGCCACAGCAAAAGCTGATGGTACATAGGGAACCAATGGGCCATTCTTCTGAATGGAACACAACTGGTTAAAAGCACAGTTTGTGGAATGTTAATGGAATAAGCCCTAAAGCTGTTTGCTTTTCCAGGCTTTGAGTTATAGGCTTTTTATTTGATTTTAAAATTTGGACACTTTACATGAATGTAATTCAGCCAAGACACTTGTTGCTAAGATACAATCCTCAGTGTTCTCTGTATGTATATTTATGTATATACCACATGTTGCAGCCTGCATGAACTTCCTCTCACACTGAGCCCAGCCGGAACTGAGCATGAGACGCTGTCACATGTAGACAAAGGACTGAGATGTTCTCAATAAAGACAAGAAGTTTCACTACGAAAGTGTTGTGGAGACTTTTCCTTTCTGTCCTTCCCCCCTTGTTCTGTCCTTGTTCAAAATGGAATCAAAACCACTTGAACATAATTTTAAAGATGTGGACAGACCACCTAAAAGCTATGGGTCTTGGACACCACCTAAGGGCTCTGGGTCTTGGGTGTGTCTGGCATGTCACCTGTACATTGCACCAAGTGCTAGGTGCATTTATCCAAGTTCAGATGCTCTCGATCCCCACCCTGGATTCCTGACTTCTCCATTTTCCTAAAGAGATGGCTCTGCTACTGCCTGAGGTACGTGAAGGTGATGTGGGTAGGGGGACACAGAAGAACTTGTTCCCCAAAGATTATTACAATGGGGTAGTCAGGTGCAGGAGACCCAGATACTAATTTATCATGTAGAACTGTGTTTCCGATTGTAGTTTGGATGGACGTTCATAATAAGTGGAAGATTGACTAAAAACAGTATTTCTGTCCTGCTCTTAAGGGAATGTGTGTGAATTATATAGGTTAGCACGTGGAAAGGGGTCTACAAGGGAAAGACTGGTTGTAGAATTTGGAATGATAGATTTTGTTTTCCTGTTTAAAACATCTATCTGGCTGATATTGCTATTTAAATGTACAATAAAATTAGAAGTGTTTTGAAGAGTCATAAGCACCATAGATTCTTTAAAAAGCAGGACTGTGGCCGGCTGTGGTGGTACACCCCTTTAATCCCAGCTCTCAGGAGGATCTCTGTGAGTTCCAGGCCAGCCTGGTGGGCATAGTGAGAAGCTCTCTCAAAAAAATAGAAAAAATGGGTAGTCTGCCTGACCTTGGAAATGCCAGCTGCCTGCCTGCTCCGTCCATGGCCTCCTCTCAGAGGTGGAGGGCTAGCCTAGCAGCCTGCAGCTGCTTCTCTCCTCATATCTCTTCCTTTCAGTGAATGAGTTGAGTATTCTCAGATAATGCCAGACATATATTACAGTTGCCTGCCGCAGCTCTTTTTTTTTTTTTTATCTTTTTGAGACAGGGTCTTCTTGTAGCCCCAGCTGGCCTGGAACTTGTTATATAGACCAGGCTGGCCTTGAACTCACAAAGATCTGCCTGCCTCTGCCTCCCGAGTGCTGGGATTAGAGGTGTGTGCCACCACACCCAGCTTTGACTTAGCTCTTTAGCAAACCATACCTTCTCCTGTGGGAGAGGCCCTGCGTTCCATCCCGAACACCCTAAAAATTAAAGGAGAAGGAGGAAGAGAGAGAGCATGCTAAGAGCTGTGAACACATGGACACAATTCTCACTCTTCTCCATGCACAGCCTGAACATTTACCTACATACATCATGAAGTTGTCACAAATTAAGCCAAGGTCGGGCTTGGTGGTGCACACTTTTAGTCGTAGCATTCAGGAAGCAGAGGCAGGTGTGTCTCTGTGAGTTCCAGGACAGCTGGGGCTACAGGGAGACCCTGTCTCAAAAAGAGCCCCCTGTCCCCAAAATATAAATTAAGCCAAAATAGTTTTTTTTTATGGCATGAAATGGGTCAGTTAATTGCATTAGATCTACATGTTTAAAACCCTGACTTCAGTGACTTCTCTTCCAGGCTGTCTGCTATAATTTATTTCTCAGGGGATCTTTTTTAATATCCCAGGAAAAACTTGCTAACACTTTTGTTTCAACTGAAAAAGTAGGTCAGATTTTTTTTTTCTGACAGAAAATAGGTCTAACTTGGTTCACTAGTGTGACAAGGAGGATTAGGCTACATGGAGGACATTTGCCATAAATAGAACGAGCCAGCTCCACAACTGCACAGTTGCAATGGAAGTTCATTTGAAATGATGAGCTAAAAGTATTTTGTCACTGTTAAATTGGGGAAGAAGCACTGAAAGTTACATCTCCGTGTCCCCAGAGCCTTCAGAATATATTAGCGTTAGCAAAGTGACAAAGAATCATGGGTGAATGATAGTGCCTTGATATGTAGTATCATAAACACTGTAACTGAGCATGACAGAATGACAGTTTTTTTGCAAGCTAAGTGGTTTTCAGTGCTTTGCTTTAAAACAGCGTAATTTAAAAAAAAACTCATTGAGTTGACAGTTGATAAAGTATTAAAGTGATTTTCATAACTTAAAATTTTAAACCACCTGATTTGGGACATTACTTAGAAGTTCAGAACACAGCTGAAAAATTGTAATAGTTTATTTGACTTTTAAACTCATGCAGTCTTCTAACACGTTCCTAACAACGAAACTAGAAACACAACCGAGGCTGAACCCTGCCACCCTGGGGGCCTCCTAATGCTTGGATGTGGGTTGGGAAAGCCCTCAGCCGTTAGCAGGGGCAGTGTGTGATAGTTACCAGCTTGCAACGCGTTTTTGAAAAACTGACTTGTGAAGATAACAATACAGGGATATTAACAAGCCTCAAGCCACTGTACATTTTAAGCTTTGATTCATATGAAGTTGTTTTGTTGTAGAGAAATTGGTTAGCATGATCACAGCTTTGAGTGATACAAGCCTATTACATGAGGTCAAGCTCTCTGCCAAAATGAGGAATCCATTCAAGAAAAGCAACTTTCTGAGGGGTGAAGAGCCTGTCTTTGTCCTAGGTGGACACAGGAGTGGAGGGTGGAAGTGGGGAGACATACATCTCCACGTCAGGTCTCAGAAGACTAGTCACTTGCATCGCCTCAGATGTTCTGGGGCTTTCCCCTACACACGAGCTGGATACTGGGAGAGCGGAGTAGTGGCCCAGGTGAGCCAAGAGCCTGAAACCTGGGAGGAGGTGCCAAGAAGGAGAGCAAAAGGGCTGGGCATATCCTGGAGCCAGGGGAGCTGGGCAGGAGGAGGAGGGCGGGGCAAACTAGCTACAAACGTGGACACGTAAAAGAGAAATGTAAGGGTTAGATTAGGAGCAAACCAAAGGTTTTCAAGGCCTTGTCTGTGAGCCCCTCCTGTGCTTGCTTGCACAGGACCCCCTCAGAGTGTCAGGGGGGTGAATATGATTTCTATCAATTTCTGTTTGCAAAGAAGCCACCCCAAACCAGATGCTATAGGTAGACACAGCTATTCCTAAGGTTCCCAAGACCCCAGAATGCACCCTGAACCAGCAGGCATGTTCTAGTGTCCTCTCAGGTCAGGGCCTCTCTGCAGTGAGTGATCATGCCCCTCCACCGCCAGCATCTCCTTAAAGTGCAGAACACGGTTCTCATAAAACAAACCCAGCACTGCACTAGAGATGAGGACACAGGCTTATGCAGAGATGGGATATTTTAAGCAAAGTCAGATGAGGCTGACCTTCAAAGTTGTATTTGTTTTCCTTCACCCAGAACTAATCAGCTTAGTATGGATGCCTGGGTGTCCCAGTGAGATAGGGAATTCATTCCAGACATGTATTTGCCTTCTGTAAGAGGAAAAGCATTTTTTACTGGCATATTGTTATACATTCTAGAACTTTTCTCAGAAGCATCAACTCATACTAAGTAATCCTGTGCAGTAATTTTAAAAAAGAACATTAAAGGATAAAGTTGAAAGCGATCTCTTTCCTGGCATATGTCAAATTGCTTGGTATTTAGCTATTATAGAGCAAAAATGCTGTCAGCTGAATATTGTCACCTGCCAGCAGATCACCACCTGCCCTGTCACTTAGCCCTTTATCCATCTCTGCATAGATATGCAGCCTATTGGAGACTATGCCACACTCTATCAGCTCCCATCACCTGCCCTCTATGAATGGCGGGGAAGGTAATCTCTTCAGCATTACCTGTCTGTGCTTCAAGACCAACATTGCTGCAGACACAGATGATGCCTGGTGACCCAGCTGCTGCTGATTAAAGCACCAGGGCCCCAGATTAGAATTTGCTGTTTGCTCAGCTTTGCAGTTACTGTCCTACATTAAAACTATGGAGAAAGCAGGTTGGATCTGTGCTGAAGGCTTTTAAGTGGACCAAATTAACTTCTGTACCCTGGGGAGGAAACTACTGAGAATTGGCTTAGAAGCCAGGCACGTCTAGAGTGACTAGTGAGTGTAGCAGCAATTCTGAGAGGCTGCAGTATGCTTCCAGCCCCATGGCAGGGTCTCTTACCTGGCCCCTAGCAGTCCAGAGAGCCTGCGAACCCATCTCAAGCCTCTATCCAGACAGGCAGGAGTGAACCACAGCCCTGGACTTGTGCACAATGCACTGCATTGTGGAGAAAGATAGTGAGCCCTCTTGAAGGGTTACAGGGCTTCAGCACACGGGGACAATTAGGTGAGAAGGACCCTGCACTGAGTCTGCCTCAGAAGGAAGAGGGACAGAGGAAGAGCCTTGGTCAAGGGATCGAGGGACTTAGACTATAATCTGTGTTCACCAACCTCTGCAAGTTGATACCGCACAGTGGGATCTTAGACATGGAAACAATCGAAATGAAACCAAGTCACATATGAACAAATCAGGAAAAGCGTGAGTGATGGGAGTGGGGAGGGGCTTCAGACTGAGAGCAGGTGGGGCTGACTGACCTGAGAGGTGATGGGGCCACTCCTCTCAAGAGAGGGCTTTTGTTTGATAATCTGGATCGGTCTGAGTTTTGGTAATTGTCCCTGGGCACGGTTTCCTTTGTACGTAAGCATTCTGACGATTCAGTCATCTTTGCTCAGAACTGCTGAGTTACAGGAGCTTTACCATCTTCCGAAGTGCTCTGGCTTCATTGTCTCATCTGGGTCTTAGGATAAGCTGAATGAGGGAGTATGGGCACTGGGGCTGTGCAGTGTGTGGCGAGACAGAAGAGACACATCTACTCCACCAGACATCAGGTCAGGTTGCCAAGTATTTGAGTCTTAGGCAGAACATTCCTCAATTGAGAACAAGCCAACATGCAAATCTGCGTAGAGAGTGACATGAGACGTGACAGCAGAGGGGACAGACACAGTGTGACAGTGCCAAGCCTTTTATCCCACTTCAGTCATCCATCAGCTGTAGCCTATAGTAAAGAGTCAGCATGTTTGCAAAAGCACCTTCAAGTTCTGCAAAGTAACCCAAGCAATTGTTACCCTAA